ACCACGTTTGGAGAAAGATGGACAAGGAGGAGATGTAGAAGCTACCCAATCTTAACCATAATTCCTTTTTCAGGTTAATGACACCCCGAAGACAAGGGCTATTTGTTTATATTTTCAAAGGCAAAGGAGATAGGTGGATTTCTCTACAGCCAGCAAGGCCCAGAAGAAAGGAGGGATGTCCATGCTGTGACGTGACCCCATCCTGCTTACTAAAGTTACCCAAAACGTCAAGGAGACCTCGCAGATTCCTGAGAATGGCGATCGCTGACTGCAGAGATATTTCTTCCATTGCTGATGCCGTCTAAGAGAAACTCTGGGACTGTATCATAACTGAACATTTTATACAATAATGACTGGACCATTACTACAGACTGCTGCTTTGCTGAAAGATCAAGATTTTGTTTGGACTTACTGATTAACGCTATAATGTGAATGAAATGTAAATGATTTCTGTGTAACTCTTTACCTATATAATGTAACACTGCATAATTGGGATATAACTAAGAAACATTTGCAAGGGTTTAAGGGAAACATTTCATTAGATGTAGATCAGCTTAAGGAGGATGTTTTCTATACATTCAAAGACAAGCTTAAGGCATCTCCTGGCTCTGATATGATTAATCAATTGGTGAAAGGCATGGAAGGGTTGGACCCGCGAGCTTGGGCTCAAACCATTTCACATAGCTTAAGTTCTAGTCTGACTGTGTTGTTTATCATCATAATTTTGATGCTTGCAGTCTCGTGTCACTTCTATGGGAAGCGAAGAGATATGTAAAGAGATCATGTTGCCTCTGTGACACTATTGAAACTTAAATGTAATGCAGAAAGGGGAAATGTGGGATACTAGCACCAAGGGAAATAAAGCTGGGACTTATTTATTCCCTGACTGGTACGGAGGGAATCTGGAAGACTGGCACATTCCATGGCTGGAAGACCGCCACTCTTGTAGTTGGAGATGTAGTCCAGGTACATGTTCCTGCGGCTGTCTATTATTTCCACTGTTTCTCCCTTAAGGTTGTGCTGCCTTAAAGTGAGCACATGAAGCAGACATGCCTAATTGCTCCTTTCCTTCCTGCTGCGGCATCTAGCCCCTCTCATACTCTCCTCCAATAGCAGATGGGCATAGGGGGTCTTTATGCTCCAGGCCTGGATTCAAAATGTTTTCTATAAGCCTGAATTTTTGGCTATATTAGTTGGATCATGAAGTTTTGCCTTGACAGCTTTTAATGTATAGAAAATAACCATGTCGCCCATGCGGCTTTTGAATTTTATATATAAAACAAAAGGGGGACTTGTAGGGGGAGGTCAGATGCATAGGCATTCCCTCCCCTGAGGGCAATCAGTTGCCAGACGTGCTGCCTCATCCCACCACAGGGGTGGCCTGCTCCCTGCCTCTGGGGACAATGGATAAGTTCTTGTAGGTGGAATTTTCACCCTACTGATAATGGTTCCTATGGAGACGCAGAGACCATCGCCTAGACCACCCCCTCATTACTGTGTAACCTATA